GCAACTCCTTTTCTACAATAAAACTATGCGGCATGAAGTTTCACGTTTTGATTTCCTATTAAAAATTGTGGAACCCCTTCGAGAACTATAGGACTTCCGCTAGGTAGTACATAATTCACAAGAAAGTTCGAAATTTATGAAGTAGAAGTGTCAACTTCCTAGTTCCTGACAATTAACTTTAGGTAAAAGTGAAACTCCTTCGAGAATTATAGAACTTTCGCTAGGGTGTACATAATTCACAAGAAAGTTCGAAATTTATGAAGTAGAAGTGTCAACTTCCTAGTTCCTGACAATTAACTTTAGGTAATTTTAAGAATTTTCTTACGTATGTTATGCTTGATGCACCCATTTGTTAATTGTGGTTATCTACCATATTTGCATGAATTGCAAACAGTAATGTTGAAAATTATGTACATTTGTACAATATGTAACATATTTAGTATTTATAAAATTCTTGGAATGTAATTTTCGTTTATGCGATAATTTAAACGTTTTACCTATTTTCCTTACTGTATCTACAATACATCAGTGACGGTGAGTAACAAGAGGTACACAGGGGCGGTCTTTGAGGTGGCGAGCAGGGCAACCGCCCGGCGCCTCGCGCACTCGTATTAATGTACCTTAGTCCATCATAATTAATAATTTATTATCTATTATGTTTAACAATTTTTGTTAATTTCCAATAAACAATTATAAAACTTTAAATTTATTGAAGTGAAACTTCTATATAGACGCGGAATATTACGANATGTGAATATGAATAAAGTTATTTGCTCATACTGACTGATTCCACAATATTTTCATATCGGCTGACACGTCACACACCATACCAATCGTAAGTCATAGTAAATATGTTGAATTCTCACATTCAGATTTGTATAGTTATAATAACGGTAAAGTATATGCCCTACCACGGTTATAACTAAACAATTTAGTAAGGACGCGCAACCACCACACAGTCATTAAAAATATTTTTAGTGGTAGTTACTAATTACCTTTTCAGTTATAATACTTCTTATTCTAGCTTTTTGTGTAAATAAATGAGATTTATACACCATATTAGGTTCGTAAGCTAAAAAACGAAATGTGTGCTGGGACTCGTAGTACAAGTAAAACTTCAAAGGACAAGTGAAAAAACGAATCCCAACAAAAGTTTCACTTTGTTTTACGCACAGGTTTTCAAATTTGGACAAGTACATTAACAATCTGCCCGTAAAACTTCAGGTAAAAATTTTGTTGCGATTCGTTTTTCCACTTGTCCGTTGAAGTTTCACTTCTACTATGTGTCCCAGAACACGTTTCGTTTTCTATTAATAACTTTTCGTTTCACGTCAAGTATTATTGTTATAACTAATTTCACAAAGACATGGGGCCTCGCAAAGATTTACCGGCCTGGAGCCTCGCAATGGCTAAGGCCGCCCCCGGAGGCACAACAGCAAGTGACCACATTATTTGAACAGAAAAGACATTTTTTAATCTTGTAACGTGTTTTTTTCTTTTAAAACATATCCTCTCTATCATTATAACTCCATTACCACATAGTAGGCATCCCTTGTCTAATTTACCCTTTGTAACATATTGTAGAACACTTTATCATAATGAAAGGTATATGTAGATCGCTAGAGTCTTATCTTAAAAATTGTAATGCACTTGATAAATATGTTAGGTAATAAATAATACAGGGTGTAACAGAGTTCAGAGAGTTTAGCAGCGTGATTAAAGGGATTTTTTTAAGACAATCACAACAATTTACAGTCTGAAGCCGGTCCTGTGCGTGAATTGTGCAACATATGTAGCTATCTCCGAACACTGTACTGCAATAAAAATTGTGCAGCCACATTGACGGAAAATGTAAACAAAAAATAATCTCGTCCCTATCCGCGTAGTATGGTTCAAATCTATAAATAATGTCACATTATTGAACCAACTAATTCCTTCAAGGTATAAAATATAAAAGGGAAGGAAAAGATTTTGCTTCGAGGGTTTGCTTTAAAGTGAAAGGTTTTACTAATTTGTATTTATAANTATATGTAGATCGCTAGAGTCTTATCTTAAAAATTGTAATGCACTTGATAAATATGTTAGGTAATAAATAATACAGGGTGTAACAGAGTTCAGAGAGTTTAGCAGCGTGATTAAAGGGATTTTTTTAAGACAATCACAACAATTTACAGTCTGAAGCCGGTCCTGTGCGTGAATTGTGCAACATATGTAGCTATCTCCGAACACTGTACTGCAATAAAAATTGTGCAGCCACATTGACGGAAAATGTAAACAAAAAATAATCTCGTCCCTACCCGCGTAGTATGGTTCAAATCTATAAATAATGTCACATTATTGAACCAACTAATTCCTTCAAGGTATAAAATATAAAAGGGAAGGAAAAGATTTTGCTTCGAGGGTTTGCTTTAAAGTGAAAAATTTTACTAATTTGTATTTATAAAAAGAAAAAAAACTAAAGGATTTACTTCTAAAAAAGGTTTACAACAACTTTTCTTGCTCTTTTCACACAGCTTTTAACGTAAAAATTTATGTATTTGTAGGACTGTTTTTGTGTTAAAATCTATCTAAAAGAACTCGTATAAAAGTAATTTTTAGTTGTGTGGTCCCAGTGTTGTGCTTGTTATGGCTGATATGGTGCATTTACGTACAAGAAAATACTACAAACTAAGACGTTCACCACGAGAATCAGATTTTAAAGCGTTATTTAGTTTTGAGGAGGAAAATGTGTGGTTGACGGACCACTTTCTTGATGCTAAACACATGAAGCGGCCGTGCTACCTGTGCAGAAAATGAAACTATTTTTGTGTTATTGTGCGACCCTTTTTAAATTTGCTAACTTTCAACACTGCACAAGTAAATCAGGAATGTATTGAACAAATAAAATAAACAGCTGTCACTGAACACACACATGTTAATTGCACAACCTCTTACATTATTAATCCGAAGCATTTCCTTGCAAGGAAAAGGTATAGATTATGAATTCAAATTGTAGCAAAAGCTTTTACTTCTACCTTTTACTTGAAAGTAAATGTTTTATTTTTATAAATACATCCTAATATATGGACAAAAAAAAATCGGTTGTCTGTAAAGTCGGTTTACTGACGATAGTTGAACGTGACAACGTCATAAGAAAATACTGATGGAATGGTTTCATTTTTCAAAAGAAAATTTTAATTTTATTTGTTTGATAGATATTTTGTATGGATATAGAGAA